ACAACTTTTAGGCTTATTGTTGCACATCACTTCTATTCAGCATTGTTGGGGAAGCTACTTTGAAACTGTTCTGTCCCAAGCTACTCAGTCTACAGTAGTTAAATTACAGTTAATGTGATAATTGTCATAAAAAGGTGTAGCTAAATCACCTTCTCAACGGCAAACAAAGCCATTTCACTTTCAACTGTGATCAGCTGTGGTCATTTTGATTAGCTCAGCAGTCAGGAGATGGATACAAAAAAAAAACAACTCAAAGGCTTTATCAATGCCTAAAAGCACAGTGAAGTCTATTATTAAGTGGAAGGTATTTGGTACAACACAACCTTGAAACTGATCTGTCCCAAGCTACTCAGTCTACAGTAGTTAAATTACAGTTAATGTGATAATTGTCATAAAAATGAATATCATTTTCATCATTATCCAAATCTGTATTTTTTTCTTGTATGCAAGATTATTATATTTTTTTTTGTTAGTTGGACCCCACTGACTTTCATTATATGTACAAAAACAGATTACATTTACATTCAATCATGTAAATCATCAGACGCACTTTGCAGTAAGCCTAATCGTTACTGGACATTACTGTACTGACACAGCAGATCTCTGCATCCACGGGGATCACAACTTTTAGGCTTATTGTTGCACATCACTTCTATTCAGCATTGTTGGGGAAGCTACTTTGAAACTGTTCTGTCCCAAGCTACTCAGTCTACAGTAGTTAAATTACAGTTAATGTGATAATTGTCATAAAAAGGTGTAGCTAAATCACCTTCTCAACGGCAAACAAAGCCATTTCACTTTCAACTGTGATCAGCTGTGGTCATTTTGATTAGCTCAGCAGTCAGGAGATGGATACAAAAAAAAAACAACTCAAAGGCTTTATCAATGCCTAAAAGCACAGTGAAGTCTATTATTAAGTGGAAGGTATTTGGTACAACACAGACCCTCCCTGGATCAAGAGCGCCTATCATTTTATCAGTTTCTAAGTGTTTTTCTGCATGAACGGACTCTGTACATCCAATAGCTTCTAAGTTTTTAAAGTTGTTAGTTACATTAAAAGTTATAAACAATAACTATATTAAGGTATTTGTATTCATATTTATGCGGATGCACACACTATGTGAGCAGAAATTACGTCACAATAGCAAGTATTCTTTTATAAAACTCATTTAGTGCAAAATAATTAAACAAAAAATTATAAACAAAAGGGTTAAACTAAATATTTTGCTACAAAAAAATAAGACATTCAATTAAAAGGAACTCAAATGATTCAAGAATCTCATTCACTAAAATTATCCAGACTGTAGACTGCAACCAATGTGACCAAAAACAGAAAATTAACCCAATATATTTTGAGAAATGCCTCGGCATTTTTTGTCCATACAATGAAAGTCAATGGTAACCAAAAATGTTTGGTTCATTCAACATTCAACATATCTTCTTTTGTGTTATGCAGAAGAAAGAAAGGTATACAGGTTTAGAATGACAAAGATTAGTAAATGACGGCAGAATATTTGGGTGAACTATCCCTTTAGGTTAGTAGCATTGCTACTTAGCACTCCGCTTTAGCCATTGTCCATGTCTGGAACTCTTTCATCCCCCAAACGCACTCAACCGTTCATTTACGTGGGTGAATTCAGTTCATCGGTTGAAATCTGTTCTAACAAACCTGATATTTGCTCTGCCATGACTAAGCCCTCATTCCTGACTCCACATTTTTATTGGAATGCAGTAATTAGCTTTGGCGACAATTGTACATTGATATACGATGTAGGGTAAGAGCTCTGACTCCTAACATATTTAGCGATCGCGCGAGGAACAGACAAAAAAGGTTAACAGTTTATTCAGAATGACAATAAAACCCAGCAACGGTGTGAAAAAGTTCATGGTTAGATTGCTGGGGGGGTTAAGGATTGGCTTAAGGATTATGCAAATATGCAGCTCATTTCAAATTCCATATAATTATCCAAGGTTAGCAGCTGCCGGTTAAATGAATAAATAGCTCTACACCCCTCTCCGCTCTTCAATCCTCAGCCGACTGCCATATCAGACCTCATCTGAATATCCTGGAACTGTTACCAAGCAACACACTACCCCCCTTTTTGGCAAAGCGAAGGGCAGTGATGCCATTCAGCTGTTGAGGAGCTCAGTTAGTGTTGCGGACGCCAACATTGCGCTCCCCAGCTATGGCTGCCGTGGGGACAACCTGAAACGGAAACAGAGCAGTCTGGTGACTTTACAGAACTCTGAAGGGAGCTCATATACAGAGACACACAAAAGAAGTAGGCTATCTGGACATCCTCACTGTGGCGGAGAAAAGAGATGGTCTATATGCGTTTGTAAAAGAAAACTGAAAAATTCACATTTGCCATAGCAATTTCGTTGAACTCCAGCACACAGTCAATTAAACTTGGACCGCAGTGTATTTGGCTGCTTCCTCTTCCCGTCCTGGAGAGAAAAACAGAAAATTACTGATCACTTAACTGACCTGTCAGTATTACAGCATATTCCGGCTCGCCAGCCAACACAAGATCACACAAGCTCTGTTCCAAAACCTAGTGAAAAAAACAGCTAGAAACCTTGGAGTTGTGATTGATGATAAGCTGAATTTCTCAGACCACATTGCTAAAACTGCCTGGTCCTGCAGATTTGCTTTATACAACATTAGGAAGATCAGGCCCTTTCTTTCAGAACATGCAACACAACTCCTTGTTCAAGCTCTTGTCCTATCCAGGTGTAGCAGAGTGAGGTATAGACCCTGTATGATTTGCTGGCGTGACCCAAACAGGTGAACCTATCAGTGTTTGTACTTTATCATGATTGGTCAGTTGGGTAAGTTTCATGAGCCAATTACTGCCTGTGTTGTGCATATAAAAGGGGGAAGTGTTTGGTTGCTTGAAATGCATCATCCTTGGTACCGCCCCTTTGTGACATGTGGCACTTTGAATGAGTGCTAGCAGTTGGGTTATCCTCCTGTCTGTTGTGTGCTGGCTTTTGGCCAGTTTTTAGATATGGGCCTGCAAGTAGCTGTAATCCTGTGTGGTGAGCGACCATGTGTATTGCAGCATTGTACTGTTTTCTTGGTTTGATTGCACGTCCAGGGGTTTCCAATGATCTTAATTGAAGCCTAACGAACCTCAAGTAACTGACTGTACTTCTGCTCTACTCCACTCTACTCTGTTTTGTTCTTTTATAGTTCTGTCTGGAATTCATCTGGGTCCGTCTGTTATATTTTGATTTGTATTGTTTGGTGCGTGGATTTAGGTGGGAGGGGTTGGCCATGGTACCTTGTACTGCGTGTTCACATGGAGTGCTGTTTAATATTTTTGATTTCACGAGTGTGTGTCATGGGCATTGAGTGTGGGGTAGAAATCTGAGGGTCTTTGCTGGCCACCTTCCTCTTTATTTTGTTATCTTATTGTATTGTACTTGTTTTGTACTTTACTGGTAAAGACGTGTGATGTATTGAGACCTTATGTGAAGCGTTGTATGTGTTATTAATTGTATGTTAATAAAGTGATTTGTTTATATTTGTCTGTCATTATGCTCACCCTGCCTTTGGCAACGAACCTGTGTCCCTTTGCTTAGGGCTGTTATGTCCCGGTGTATTCCGGGTGGCGTAGTCGACTATAGGATTGCTCTTATTGGTAATTTTCAAACCCCTGACCACTTCATGCCACACAGGCTGGACTATTGCAATGCTCTCTTGGCAGGTCTTCCAGCCATCCCTCCTGGTGGAATGACCTGCCCAAATCAATCCGAGCAGCTGAGTTCTTAACCATCTTCAAGAAACGACTAAAAACACATCTGTTCCACCTTTATTTGTCCCTCTGACTCTAGCACTTTCTATTCTATTTTAATTCTACTTTATATTTATCTTTTTTTTATTAAAAAAAAAACATAAAACACTAGCTTTCTATTTTTTCTATTTTACTTGTTTTTCTTTGCGTGTGTGTGTTTTTTATATATATATATATATACACACACCTTGCTACATGTACTGCGTTAGGCTAACCGAGACTTGTCATTTGCACATATATTGTTGCTCTTTTGTTAGTTTTGACTGCTTTTATTGTCCTCATTTGTAAGTCGCTTTGGATAAAAGCGTCTGCTAAATGACTAAATGTAAATGTAGTGAGCTGGCTTGCTGTCTCCATAGGCAGCTGCCTTCTAAGACAGAATTCTAACCTCATGAAATCTCATAAGCAGGGCTTTTCTCGCATTTTCTGTGTTGATTTTGAAGGAAAAACTGTGGAATTATGTGGATTAAACATGGTACTATTGGTTAAACGGAAAGGAGAATAATTACATTCTGATTAGCTGAAAGCATTATCACATTAGTCAAAACATTTAATAAACAAACACACAAGGGGAAGGGGAAGTGCAAAACTTTCTAATATGTTCCCTGAGTTCCAAATCTGTGGAAATCTGCAGAGCTTTAGGTGCAGGCACACTTCACTCTTCATAGGCAACAAGCTTGCACCTACACTAATAGCGCTCCTAATGTCAAGTGTATATAGTGGAACTTGACTCACAAATGACTTTGAATTTGATGTTAGCATGATGCTAGCCTAATGACACAGATCTCAAAAACTGATGGCAGATAACATCAACCTAAATGACTCACATTTTATTTAAGGTATACATTTGATCTGTTCAGGCATTCCCTGGGAATCAAACCCATGACCTCGGTGTTGCTAACATAATTATCTGTTTGAACTACAAGTTATATAACACACAAATACTGAATACTTTTTCAATATTGATTTAAAAAATCATTGGGAATCATTTTTTTTTTTTTTTTTTTTTTTTCTTCACAGAGCTTGTTACAGTGTTTTCTGGGATTGGCTTTTCCATAAAGGATACACTTTGGAACAGTATTTGTGTCAGGAGCTTGTATGCGATGCCCTGGTAAAGCGTCTAGGCAGCTCACTAAACTTTGACATTTTTAATTTCACCCAAACAAACAAATAAATTCTAGCATTATTTACTCACCCCCATGTCACTCCACTTAGACTTAAAACACACACATACAGACTCCAGAGCAGGGATAAGGAATTTCCACTGTGGGCCGAGTGTCAGTTGGCAGATGCCATGGACATCCAGGGCTTTTCCCGCTGCCGTTGGGAGCTCCACACATTGTCTGACACTCCAGACAGCACTGGCTTCAATTTAAAAAAAAAAAAGAGACGAGGTGAATGAGAAAAAGACAACTGTAGACATGTTGGAAATGGCTGTCTGTCTGGAACAAAATGATGAAAGGGAGAAAGGGAGAGACAGAGAGAGATGTGTTATCTTTCAGCTTCAAATAGACAATGTCACACTGTACATTCAAGTGCCAGCTCTGAGAACAGAGGCTTGCTGGTATAACACTCACACACACAGCAGATTCAGAGGTGCTCTGGCTCTAACAAGCGCATAGTATATCTGACGCTGTGCCACAGAGAATAGGGCCTGCCACAGGCACTGCAGCCTGTAGAGATTGGGAGAACCAGATGACTCAATCTGCTCAAACAGGAGAGTGCACAAAGAAGTACTATTATTTACTTCACCTTGTGACTTCAGATCCAACAGACACGAGCCTGCACAGACCAAGAATAACCCTTAGGAAAGAAAAACCTACAAATAAGCTTGCTTTAATGTCTCAGTTTCTTGTAGACAGCAATGAGGTTAAATGGAGAGAAACTTTAGAGTTAAGTTAACTGAAGAGACAACTAAATTAAGTCTCCTGCATCTCAGATTGTCCTCCTGAGAAAAAGACCCTATTAATTGAACATATCTCTGAAGTATCGAAAGGGATCTCAATGGGAAACACTGCCAAGAATTATTTCATAATCAGTATTATCATCTTATATTACAGGGGGGAAAAAGTCTGTGTGTGTGTGTGTGTGTATAAATGACTGATATTGACCGAATGACTTTTATGGAAATATGATAATATTTTTTAATTATCATTTAAGACTGACTAATTTCAAATTGTATATCAATATTTCTATGAACTATGAGATGTTAAATTAAAATTTTATTAAGTTATTACACTCATTATTACACATTTTTCGTTACATGTTGCCCAAAGAACACATTAATGTACAAATTATAGAAATATTATACATACATATATACATATATATATATACATACACACACACACACACACACACA